CAAACCCTCTGCTTTTTAGCTACTGTAAACACTACTCCCTGAACCATGTTTGTCATTTTCACTGAAGTTTGTGGTTTTCAGACTGGTCTGTGAAACACAGCCCTATCTCTAGGACTAGGTAATGGGTCAGAATGCCCCCCTCCCCTTTCCCTTTTTTAAAAAGGTGGTAATAGTTTTCAAATTTTTAGAAATTGGTAAAATAGACAATACAGTGTACAGATGATGTGTTGTAGAATTGTGCACCTGAAACCTATATAATTTTGTTAACCAGTCTCACTCCAATAAATTCAGTTAAAAAAGTAAAAATGAAAAAGATTGTGGTCAAATATACATAACAGGCAATTTATAATTTTAACTATTTTTTTTACGAATGCAGATCTGTCATTAAGCATATTCACATTGTTTTTTAACTGTTATCATCACCGATCTCCAGAAGTTTTCATCTTCCTGAACTGAAACTGTTCATTGCAAACACTAAACTACTCATTTTACACCCCACCACAACCCCTGGCAACCACCATTTTCTTTCTATGTCTATACTAGTATATTTGACTACTGTAAGTATAGTCATAGAGCTGAAACCGGTTTGGCTCAGTGGATAGAGCGTCGGCTTGCGGACTGGAGGGTCCCAGGTTCGATTCCGGTCAAGGGCATGTACCTGGGTTGCGGGCACATCCCCAGTGGGAGATGTGCAGGAGGCAGCTGATCGATGTTTCTCTCTCATCGATGTTTCTAACTCTCTATCTCTCTCCCTTCCTCTCTGTAAAACATCAATAAAATATATTTAAAAAAAAAAAAAAAAGTATAGTCATAGAATATTTCTCCTTTTGTGACTCGCTTATTTAGCAGAATGTCTTCAAAGTTCACCCACATTGTAATATGTGCCAGAATTTTTTTCCTTTTTAAGTCAGTAATGTTCTAGTGTATATATATATATATAATACCACATTTTGTTTATTCGTCCATGGATGGACACTTGGGTCACTTCCACCTTTTGGCTATTGTGAATAATGCTGCTATGAACATGGATGTACAACTATCTGTTCTAGTTCCTACTTTCAATTCTTTGGGGTATAGACCCAGAAATAGAATTGTTGGATTACATAGGAATTCTATTTAATTTCTTGAGGAACTGCCATAATGTCTTCCATAGTGGGTGTACCATTTCACCCTCCTACCAGTAATGCTTAAGGGTTCCAGTTTCCCACATCTTTGCCAACATTTGTTATGTTCTGTTTCTTTGATAATAGCCTAAGGTGTGAAGTGGTATCTTGTGGATTTGATTTGTATTTCCCTAATGATTAGTGATGTTGACCATCTTTTCATGTGCTTATTGGCCATATGTCTTATCGTTGGGCAAATGTCTATCTAGTCCTCTGGCTATTTTATAATTGAGTTGTTTGGGTGTTTGTTGTCCAGTTGTATGGCTTTTTTTTTTTAATGTTTTTATTGATTTTAGAGAGAGAGGAAAGGATAGTGGTATTGAGAAACAGATAAAAAACATCAATCGGCTGCTTCCTGCATTCCTCCTATTGGGGATTGAGCCCACAACGTCGGCATATGCTCTGACTAGGGTTTAGAACCAGAAACCCCTTGGTTCACGTGCCAACGCTCAACCACTGAGCCACACCAGCTGGGCTCTATGGGTTCTTTATATGTTCTGGATATATGATTTGCAAGTATATTCTCCTATTCCATGAGCTGCCCTTTCTTTCTATTGATAATATCTTGATGCACAAAAGTTTTAAATTTTAATGTACAACATCTATTTTTTCTATTGTTGTCTCTGCTTTTGCTGTCCTATATAAGAAATCATTGCCAAATTCAGTATCATGAAGCATTTTCCTGTTTTCTTTTTTAGTTAATTTTTATAGACAGTAAAAGGTAAGAATCCAAGTTAATGGTTTTGCATGCGTGTATCCAGTTCTCTTGTTTTTTAATTTTAAAAGTAACATGTTCATTGTAAGTAAAAAGTGAGAGGTAAGTAAAATATGAAACAACTCCTATTCTAGTTTTACTGCCCAAGAATACCACTCTTTAATAGTTTGATGTGTTTTCTATATACATACAAGGTTGTGGGTTTGTGGATTTTATAGAATGGAATCCTTTGCATAATGTTCTGCAGTTTTTCATTCATCAGCATATCCTGAACATCTGTCTCCCCTTCCTATGAGTCCATGTAAATGTTCATTTTTCTGACATCTTAATTTCTTACTAATGAACATTAGGATGTCTCTGGTTTTTCCTTAAAAAAATTTTTTTTTAATAATTTTTATATTTTTAATTGCATTTATTGGGGTTAACAATTTATACATCATCTCTATTATGTGTTCACCTCCCCAAGTCTTTTTTTGAAAAAAATATATTTTTATTAATTTCAGAGAGGAAGAAAGAGGGAGAGAAAGATAGAAACATGAATGATGAGAGGGAATCATCTATCAGCTGCCTCCTGCACACTTCCCACTGGGGGTTGAACTTGCAACCCGGGCATGTACCCTTGACCAGAATGGAACCTGGGACCCTTTATTCCGCAGGTCGATGCTGTATCCATTAAGCAAAACTGGCTAGGGCCCCAAGTCTTCTTCCATCACTATTTATTTCCCCCTACACCTATATTCTCCTCTGCCTCTCCCCACCCCGTTTTCCCTCTGGTAATCACTATATACTAGTATTGTTGTCTGTGTCTGAGGTTTTTTTTGTGTTTGTTTTGCTTAATTCTCTCACCTTTTTCACCTAGCCTGTTTTTTCTTTATTAAAATAATCAGCAGCTGTCTTTGTCTGCTTTGTGTATTAGGTTTCTGCTTAAAATTACGTAAGAATTTGAAAAGAGTACATTAAAGAAGTCCCAGGCATTATCCAGTAGCATACTTTCCCCTATTTTTGAATTCCCCTTTTCTCCCTTCTTTTGTTTCATAAACAATTGGAAAGAGCTTGTTAGTGTCAGTCACTGTGGTAAGTCTGCAGGTTACAATGATGAGTAAAAGCCAGAAGTCTCTGCCCCCAAGGAACTCATTTTGAGTGTGAGAGATAGTTATAGTAGTGTTATAAGTACTGATGATAAAAAGAGCAGTACCTGAGTCACCAGGGATACCTGGGGGCAAATTAGAGAGGACTTCCCAGAGGAGAAGAACATATCAGCTAGGTTTTGAAGAATAAATTGGAGTTAATCAGATGGAAAGGTGCATAGGCTGAACTTGGCCTCCTTGTCATTTACAGCTGCCCTCTCAGTTTACATAGAATGAGTCTACTGTCCAAAGCTCCTCAGGTATTTGAACACGTTGTCAGGTACCCCCTAAATTTCTTCCTGGGCCAAGAGTGATACCAGTATGTGATTATTTTGTGGAAGAGAGTAAGCAGAACAGAACTAAGACACAGTTAAATAAAGGTTTAACAATTAATTTGTGACTTAGGCTTAGAGACTTCACATATATGTCATTATCGTACAAGGATTAATTCTCACCTCCTTGTGTTCTTTTTAATGATTATATGGCCACCAGGTCACCTAGATGAAGTCTAAGACATTAGATAGTTAATAGTCTCCTTTGCTGAATATTACATGGGTTTTGTTTTTAACTCAGTTTTATACAGAAGAGCCTCTTTCTTGATATGATCTTTCTCTGCTATTTATTTACCTATAAATTTTCTTATTAAGAACTAGATGTAGATTTCTTACATATTTTTTATTTTTAGTGCTCAACCCCATGGTGAAGTAACCTCTTCTTAGCTTGTCATATGAGACTTGATTCTTAGCTTGAATGGGGGGAAAAATATGAACACTTTACAGGTTTAATCTTGGGGCCCAGACACATTGTACACAAATGGAAAGCACGGAAGAGTTTCATGGAAAATCAATTAGGTTGCCTACTGAGTAGTTCAACAATGTTCTCCATTAAAATGGCATTATGTCCTTCAGTTCCCTACCAAACAAAGGTCAACTTTGACACAGCTCTGAAATTTTCCACTGTCCTTTGCTTTGACGGTTTCCACTTAGCATGGGCCAGGGTTTTTTTTTAGTTGGCATTAGGTTGTTGCATGAGCTAATATCAGTCTCTAATCTGGGCTTCAGTTTCCTTATTATAAAAGTAGATTATCTCTCGATTATCTTTTTTGTAATAGTTATTGACTTTGAATATTTAATGTTTATTTCATTTCCTTGTATTAAATGGGAAAGACATGGTATAATTTGGCAAAATCCTGGATTCTGTTAGGCTCTCTGCTTAGTTTGGCTCCTTTTGTCCTAACAACCTGATTATCTGTTTTTACATTTTATACATTCTTTGTGGAAAAATATGGTCTGAGGCCTCATTATAGTTTTGCCAAGATATACTGCCTTTTTACTGTTAGGCGGAGGGACTTGCATGTAAACTGGTTTCCTTTTGGTTCTGTTATACTCACTTCTATCTAGGGACCAACTTTATTTAAACATGCTAGAGAATTTGAAATTTTCATCAGAGAGTATTTACTGGATGTGTTGAATGTCAAAATTTTTATTTTGCTGCTCTTGATCTGTTTTTGAAAACACTGCTTTGCCCGGCCACTATGGTTCAGTTGTTTGAGCATCATACCATGCACCAGGAGGTGGCTGGTTCGATTCCCAGTCAGGGCACATGCCCAGATTTCATGCTTGATCCCCTGTAGGGGGGTGTGCAGGAGGCAGCCAATCAATGTTTCTCTCATTGGTTTCTATCACTTTCCTCCTTTCTGTGAAGTCAGTAAAAACATATTTTAAAACAAAACCAAAAAAAAAAAAATCTCATACTGTTTTGACTATGATAAGGTTTTGTTTTTTAATGTGCTGGACTGTTTAGAATTTTGTGCAGTGGGAGAAGACCAGGATGCTCTTTCAAATCTTGAGTGCCTAATGTTATTGCCCTCAAAATTAGAGGCTGGTTGGAGTCTAGGCTGGTCTAGATGGATAACTCAGTGGATATAATCAGTGGATAGGACACTGATGATTAGTATGTATAATGCCAAGAGCATTGGTTCGGGATAAATTGGCCCTTAATTGCTGTGAGACCTTGGGTAACCTTTCTTTCCACGAAAAATAATAAATGAATATTACCTAATTGTGCACAAACATTTCCTAGCAACATTATTCAGAATAGCCAAAAAATTGAAATGATCCAAATGTTTATCAACTGATTAATGGATAAACAAAGTGTGATATATCCATACAATGGATATTATTTGGCAATTAAAATGGAATGAAGTACTGATATATGCTATGGTGTGGATAAACCTAGAAAGCATGCGCAGTAAAGAAGCCAGTCATAGAAGGCCTGATGTTATATGAAATGTCCAGAATAGACAAATCTATAGCCCACAAGTAGATAAATTGTTACTTATCGGCTGGGTAAATGTGGTGGGGGAGGGGAGGGAATGGGGAATGAGTGCTAATGGGGTGGGTACAAGGTTTCTTTTGGGGATGATGAATGTTCTAAAATTAAGATTATATTGACAGTTGCACAACTCTGTAAATATATATGAAAAACCATTGATTGTACACTTTACAAGGTGAACTTGTCAATATATAAATTTTATCACAATAAATGTTTTTAAAATGAGGTTAAATGAGCCTGTTTTGAAGATCCCTTCCAGTGTTTTTATTAATCTTCACTGGAGTATATTTTTCTATTGATGTTTAGAGAGAGTTGAAGTGAGGGGGAGAGACAGAGAAACATCAATGTGTGAGAGCCACATCGATTGGTTGTTACCCATACACACCCTTACCAGCCTGCAACCAAGCTATAATGTCCTTGACTGCAGTCAAACCTGTGACCTTTCAGTCTGCAGGCTGACACTCCTATCCACTGAGCCAAACCAGCTAGGGCTCAGTTTTTTTATTTTAGAGGCCAAATGAGCTATTGAGTACTCAGATTTAAAATTTATAAGAAATAACTTAAGGAAGTAAAAAAGCATTACTTTAGGCTAAGACATTTTCTTGAAAAGGTGTGCATCTGACTATCCACTAGAGGACAGCAAAGCCCATTTTAGCCATTTTCTATCTGTTTTCAATAGCACTCTTTTAAAGAAAGTCTGTGGTACCATGTGTTAGCTCTCCATTACAACAGGTGGAAAAACTAGCAGCTGTCATAATGGACCCGATGTTTTTTGTTTTTGTTTTAATATATTTTATTGATTTTTTTATAGAGAGGAAGGGAGAGAGATAGAGAGTTAGAAACATCGATGAGAGAGAAACATCGATTAGCTGCCTCCTGCACACTCCCCACTGGGGATGTGCCCGCAACCCAGGTACATGCCCTTGACCGGAATCGAACCTGGGACCTT